TGGCAATAGGTAGTAGGGTATTTCAAGGTCTTTTAATCCACAAATTAAACTTGGCCATTTTATTGGTCCTCCAATTTTAGTTTTCAATTTTATTGGTCCCTGGAATCCATATGCCTAGAAGCTAATGCCCAGGAGACATATAATCCAGTCTTTAAACCTTCATTTATCCAACCAACATTCAGTGAGTGGCTGACTATTGCATATAAGATATATAGGAATTCTTCCTTTGACTCAAAGAGCTTGTGGTCTTTGGGTCCCATGTTGTAAGCTGTCACACCATTGGCTCTGGGGGGTGACAGGTTGTCAGGGAAGAGAGGTGAAGAGGGCATGGGGGTCACAGTCCATCACAGGGTCCTTGACTTTTCTTAATATGGAAGCCACTTCTTCTTTTAGAAATTGTTTAACTCATTATTCAATATTGGAGCCCTTGGGGAAATAAAATTCGCTGTAACAAACACCTCCTCACAGTGGCAGAATACATATTTCAGAAATTAAAAGACAAATCTGGGAGAGGAGTAGAGCTGAAATATCCCAGGCACCGAGATATATAACTGTGCATGGGAGAAATTTTCTATAGGTTTTAAAAATATATTTATTAAGCCATTGTTTGGTTTAAGACACCCAAAGGAAGGAAAAACAGTGTCTAATTTACAAGACATGACAGCTATAAACCCTTTAACATTCACAAAAAACTTAAGTAAAAAGAATCACAAATCAAAATATTATTAGTGACATTTATGACACATTGTAACAATACACATCAACAAAGCTGTAAATTCTATAATACCTAGAATACCGCAGGTGTCTGAAATATGAGACGATGCTATTTGGGTATGTTTATATGAGCAAGGGCTCTCCAGTAGCCTAAACCTGCAGTGCTCCAAGTGTTAGCTGTGAATGTTTTTGTGGTTTGAGCCAGAGAAATGTTTGGATTGGAGATGTTAAAAATCATAGAAAACCTTTCAAACTGTTCTCTTCATACTGGGGAGAGAGGTTGGGCATGGGGAGTCTTGTTTTGGGAGAAACATCTGTAAAGTTTCGGCAGAACCTTCTGAGCAGTTACATGAAGCATGTTTTCTGTGGGCTTCACTGTTTTGCCAGTTTGGTGGTTAGTTGAGAGCCCCTTGTGTAATGAGTATACTATGTCATAGCATAAAATAGTAACTGGAAATCTAGCAAATATCCAGGCAACTGGAAGGGCCATAAACCAGGAAGCTTTTTTTTTTTTTTTTTTAAAGGATGATAATTCTCTCAACCAATATGGCTAGCTTCCAACACCCAGCAAGAGTTTGCATTAAAAAGGAAAAATACAAAATAAGCCTAATGCAAACTTTCTCCCTCACCTTTTTCAAACTCAGATGATTGCCAAGAATCAACATAATTGAATTCATTTAATATGAATAAATAAGTGAGCTGAAAGGGGCCCGCGCTCGCCACCAGCACATCACTTTCTGCCAATTTTGACTGACAGCTCATTCTCTAGATAAAAATTGTGTTATCAACTCACTGAATTAACATGCTTTAATAATCATCTAGTTAAGTTATAACTGGAGAGATCCTGGCCAGTGATGCAATTTAAATTGCAAAGAAATCAGAGGAGGATCATTGGATACACATTATTTTTATCTTTAATGATGTTATTTACATTAGATACAGTGTTTCTGAAAGCAGAAAGCTCTATTCTCATTTAGACAATGTGAAAAAAAACTTTGATGTATGTATATATGTATGTCACATTTTAAAGATGTACATAATGTTTCTTAAAAGACAAGTGAATCTTTTCAGGCACCAGTCTTGCAAAAAATCTCACAGATCATTTTTTTTAACTATATACAAGTATATCAATAAATGAAAAACAGCAAAAAAAAATTATAGCTAAATTGTAATGGTTTCAGCCTCTTAAGAAAAGCATTAGAGTGGAAAAAGCTGGAGTTTCAGGTCAAACCCCATCGTGATGACCTTCACTACAATAAAAAGTTGCCTATAAAGAATTAGTTTCCAAGTCTGACGAGTCACTGAAAGTGTTTCTAAATGTCATTGCCAAAAAACTATGATTTTAAATCATCCATGGCAAGAATGTTTTCTTTAAAGAAATTACTGAAAATTTCGTACTCATATAACAGTCACCTTTGTATAATGAAAAAGACCCTACCCCTGATTCTGTGACCTGGGGTCAGGTGTGGTGGCAGATATCTCATTGCTGATATTACCAGGAAAATGGAAACATGAATTACAAATGAAACCAATTCCTTTACTTTCTTCACATTAACAAAGCAAGCTGTGAGAGTGTCTTTATCACTGGCAGACATGCTAATCACATCTACAAATTTGACTGGTTTGTGTAGGAACAGCCCATTTTAAATTTTGAGCCAAATACACAACCATCCAGGGGAGATGAATAGACAGCCCTTAAAATGCTGGAGCATCATTTGATCCATGGTCAACTGGAGATGTTTCTTTCATAACCTAAAGTATTTATTATTACCTACTGCATCATAACACAGAAGTGATCATGAGCTCATTAAAGATAAAATCCTTGGCTCATTAGTCTCTAGAGCTTAGAACGTAGCAAGCAGATACTAACTGCTTGTGAAATGATGGACTTTCAGAAACAATCTTCCTCCTTGTAAGTTCTTCTTTTCCCTGAGTCTTAAACATTTAGGATGACACAAAGATGTTACAAAGAATAAAAAGGCAATGATGGGAGGGCGAAGTCAAGATCCATTTCTCTAAATATTATCTCTGAGTTCTCTCATCAACACCAGTAAAGGACATTGGTGTCCTTGCTATGTAAACTATGCCCCATAACTGATTTAGGCTGAAACTTTAGACCTGAACTCACCAGAAAGGGGAGACCATTAAATAGGCAGGCAACTAACTGAAAGTTAGGTTTGGTTTTCTCCAAAACAACCAACTGTCTGATGGAAATCAAGCCTTCTTTGCTTGTTTTCTCTCAGGTAGGATATACTTGTAGACAAAAACTCTAAGATTTCAGGAAAGTGAATTACCTCTTTGGGATTTGCTGGGCTCTATTTAAGACAATAATGCTGAATGACCTAATTAGTATTTCACAGGCTTAAATGAATGAGAGCATTTTTTTAAAATGTTGATCCCAGGGCACCTGGGTGGCTCAGAGGGTTAAGCCTCTGCCTTCAGCTCAGGTCATGATCTCAGGGTCCTGGGATCAAGCCCTGTGTCAGGCTCTCTGTTCAGTGGGAGCCTGCTTCTTCCTCTCTCTCTCTTTGCCTACTTGTGATCTCTGTCTGTCAAATAAATAAGTAAAATCTTTAAAACAATGTTGATGCCTTCCCAAGAATCAACCAAATAAACAATTTGCTAAAGTTCTGAATTCAAATTAACTGGATAGTGCAGTTTTAGTGTCAGGAAGGATTTCGAACATACCTTCCCCCAGAAATCTAATTATGATTACGTTTTTCATTTTTCTAATATAGTCAATTATTTATGCATAATAATCTTTATTTTTGGTAGAGGAGAAAAATCAATCTTGGTAATAATCTCCCCAGCTGGTACATTCAGTTCCATAGTTGAACCAATAACTTATGTAGGGATTCCTTGTCTGACTTAATAGTGTACAGGATTGTGAAGAAATCATTTTTAGAACAATATGTTTAATAAAGCAAAAAGTTGACTATGGGGGGAGCAAGGTCAATAGGAAAGAAAATTTTAGTTTTATGACCAAAACGTTCAACATTTAGTTGGAGGTGTCTAATCATTCATAAGTATGATTCAGAAGGAGACTGGGTATATAAGTAAACATATCCATCAGATAAGCAGGGGGATGTAAATAGCAAAACTAATTTGGACACAGGACATGGCATAGGCATTTTGAAATAAATGGCTATAATATTTTTAAAAGTTTTGAATATCAATAAGCAGTAGCATTTAAGGAATTCTGAACTTTTCACCATTTGAAAAATGTCTATGTTCACTAAGTTCTTGTAAGCTTTCGAGAGTAAGTTATAAATTATCCCTTTACTCACAAAGCGAAGCCTTATGGTTGGCTTAAGCATTTTTGTTAAGCCAAATAAGGCAGTTTGTGATTTTCTATAATTTTTATAAAGTCTCATTTCCTGAATATTAACACCTATAATTCAACCTAATTTAAAAATTCGTCTTATGTTTCATATCCATTTTCTTCAGAGCATGAAGAGCAGGGCATTTAGGTGTAATTTTGAAGATTTATCACGCTAACATCCTACTACGTTCACTATAAAGAACATTTCAGGGAATGAGTTTTATTTGTAAACATTTTTATAAGATTAACAATAATTTTACATATACTCTAGAATTACACTGTCCACTATGGTAACCATTAGTCACGTTTGGCTGTTGAACACTTGAAAGGTGACTTGTGCAACTTGAAGAACTGAATTTTTTATTTTAACTCATTTTAAATTTAAAGAATTATAATAGTGATTTTAGTTATGGAAAAACTTTTAGGTGTGTTTAGACAACTTAGACTCATGAATCTACTTTCTCATCGGCAAATTTTACAAAACCTAAATCCATTAAGTATAAGTGGTGAAAACTTCAAATCCAGATAAGGTGTGCTGCAAATATAAAGAACATATCAGAGGCTCTGTACCCAAAAGAAGGAAGGTAAAATTCTCATTAATAAGCTTTATATTGACTACTTAGGTGCCTTGCATTATATTTCTCTTGGACAGCACTGATCTGGAGCTATATGAAAATTTCTAGTATTTAAAAGTTATGTTTTAAATGTTTTCTTTTAATGTCATTCTTTTAATCAAAATTTGTTATCATTATGAAAAAGTAAATCAGATTTAGTATTTACTCAGTAAGAAGTGCCCTAATCGTTCTCTCTGCCCATCCTCCTTTCTCCAAATTGCAGAATCCTTGCTAGCACCAACAGCAGAATGCAAAATCATAAGACAGTGAATATGCAGGAATAGTATATGAGAGCACTGATGAGTGTGCAATCAATCCAACTGTTCACACACTACAAGTTCCATCTTTTCTTTCTTCCCAATTGTTTCCAGAGCTGTGTGTTCCTAATTCCAAAATTAACCATCAACTTCTTCCCAAGTTCTGCTGTGCTATGGCTTCTGGTTCAGTATAAGCGATGACTTTGCTCAGCAATGTGCATGGTCATGTATTAATACTAGATTCTGTCCAGGCCCGAGAGCTTTCATCCTTCAGAGTGGAGAGCTTCCTCTGGGAGAAGGGTTCAAATCCCAGAAGCTTGAACACCGCCACCCGGTACTTCTTGGACATAATGTTGTACAGAATGGGATTGATGGCAGCACTGAGGTAGAAGAGGACAAAGGATACCAGGTTGCAGTATTGGCTGATCTGAGCAATCTCCAAGGAGCCAGGCTCGAAGGACTTGGAAAATAAATATCGCCCTACATGGAAGGGCAGCCAGCAGAGGATGAAAGCAAACACCACGACAGCTAAAAGGACAACAGGAGAGAGAGTGTGAGCTCAAGAAATGTCATAGCAAGTCACATTCTATTTTGAAGCCATGGTTTTGTTTTATGTATAGTATCACCGTTGACTTCAGAGAAACATTATGTTCTGCTTGTCCCTATTTCTACTTTTTACCAAGATTGGGTCTGTCTGTACTAACAGTTCATCCATTTTCATTGAGCTTCCTAATCATTTCTACTTAACAACTATTTGAGTGGTTTTTATGACTAGACTGACATATTGACTCAACAATTTATTCACAATAGTCCCCATTTCACCTGTGCCAGATACTACCAAACAAATATGAAGTACAGGGCCATACTCAACCACAGCTACGTAGCAGAGTTTCCTGCGGGCTCAGATTCCTTGTATATAATACACACTTGTAAAATTAGGATCCTTAGGAAGGAGACCAGGACAACTGCTTTTCTCTTTTATTTTTTCTTCTTAAAAGTTTCACAAAAGACTGAATATGCAGTCAGGATGGAGAGTCACTGAAATGCATGATACCTTGCCACCTATGGTAGACATAAGTAAGTTATAAAAGACCATAAAACCCACTAATATTAATTATTATCCATCTGAGTCTTCATTTTACGCAGGGAAGAGAATTTTTGTCCAAGCCCTCTGAATTTCTAGACAAGTTTTTAAAATGCAGAAATCAAAGGAAAATAGCAGAAAATAATACTTCAGTCCTTGTACCATTTTAGCGATTCCCTTCATAAGGTCAAGGCAAAAGAAAATTAACATCGGTGTTGAGACACCAGCGAGGACGATGAACAGCTTAAAAATAAAATTGGAGGAGATTATTAAACTTATTCTCAAAACTAAGTTGCATAGTAACAACTGTTGGCCACCATAGCAACAGGAATATTAGAATTCCCAGGAGGGCACTAGCATGTTTACAATCTTTTAGTCATGTTGTGAGAATCACTGGTCTAGCAAATAAAAATTTTTTTGCATTCTTTGAAAAAGCTGTATCATCTTAATATACAAGATTCCAGGAGCTGTAAAATTTACAAATACAAAAAATCAACCTAGAATGACTTCTAAGAAGCACTAACTAAGCAAATAAATACAAAATGTTGGACTATAATGAAGAATAATAAAATGTACAGAATCTGGCTTTGAAAAAGCCAATAGAATTAATGTTTTGCATGGATATGAACACATTTTGTATTACTTCACTTGTCCATTAAACTTGTGTAGCAAATATGCAGATATGCAGTACACTCCAGTCATGATGCTGCACCTAGATGTTTTTTGAAGGACCATTTAGGGAGGGATAGGAAGTCCTGTCAGCTTACAAAGTCTTTTTCTTTTTTCTCATGTTGGGAGAAGCCTACCTATCTCAGTTATCCTGTATTATCCTGGACTATCCTACAGGCAGAAACAGGGGGTCATGAAAATAAATGGAGACTCTAGCAGGGATTTGTCATTGACTTCTTTTCAAAGCTATATAAACAGCAGCAGGGTAAACAGAAGGAATGCAATTATCTGGGGAAAAATGCAGGTCAGAAAGCACACCACAATGCTGAAAGAAGGGTGAATCATCTCTGGCAGAATTATCCACATTGATCATATCTTTGGTTCAATTTACCACCAAATGCTTTCTAGATCCAATGGCTACTCCTCCCCCAAGCCCATGCCTGTTTTTGTCATGCAACTTAGGTATCCACAAATTGAGGCAGGAAGCTCTACCTTGCCTTTAACACTTAAAGACTACAGTAGACTTTTATGAAGTATCTCAGTTTTGAAGCAATGTCTCTGGGTTGATAAAACTCACGGGAAATATAAAGGTGGGAGGGGACACCTTTCCCTGAAAAAGGAGAAATCAGAAGAAAAAGACACTAAGAAGTAGAGAGGAAAAGAGAGTGAAAACAGTGATAAAGGGGATGGGGGAAGACAGATAAAGAGAGAAACAGCAACAAACAAACCAACAAACAAAAACCAACACACACACACACACACACACACACACACACACGGGGGTGAGGGTTGGCATACACCACGGAGAAACTGAGAAACCAGAGAGCAAGCTCAAGACAGAAACTGATAAAGACATGCAGATAGAGACCGAGAAGAACAGGGGAAGGAGGTAGAGGTTCAGGGAGAAGGGGAAAGGAGGGAAGGCAAAGGGAGACGGGAGAACCCGGGAGAGCGCGGCCGAGGGCGCACTGAGACCCACCCAGCATTTTCACGGTTTGCTTGTGGTTCTGGTCCCTTAGCGAGGCTCCCACGGCCGCCTCGCCCCGCTTTCTTCGCCACAGCTTCCTGCCGATGAGGCTGTAGAGCACAGTGAGGCAGAAGACGGGCAGGAAGAAGAAGACGCTGGATACCCACACCATGACGGTGAGCAGTCCAGAGCGCACGGCGAACTCGGTGGCGCGACACTCGTTAGTGTCCCGAGGATCGGTGCCGTTCTCGTGCTCCACCCCGACCAGCACGAAGATGGGCCCGGCGCTGCAGAAGGCCACGGCCCAGATGACCAGGATGACCAGCTTCACCCGGCCCTTGGTGACTACCACCTTGGCCCGCAGTGGGAAGCAGATGGCGAAGTAGCGCTCGACGCTCAGCGCGGTAATGGTGAGCACCGTGGCGTAGGTGCAGCTCTCGCTGACGAACTGGAAGAGTTTGCAGAGCAGGTCGCCGAAGTTCCAGGGCCGGTACTGCCACAGGCGGACTAGGTCGAGGGGCATGCAGAGGAAGATAAGTAGGTCGGAGAAGGCCATGCTGGACAGGTAGAGGTTGGTGGTGGTGCGCAGCTCGCGGAAGCGCGACACCACTAGCATGGTGAGCAGGTTGCCCGCGATGCCCACCACAAAGAGTGCCACGCAGGTGGCGGTGACGCCGGCCAGCAGTGGCGCGGGGAAGAGCGGCAGGGGCTCGTCGGTCAGGGAGTCGTTGTCGGCGGGAGCGTCCCAGCCCAGGTCCGGCAGCGTGAGGTTGTACCCGGGCTCCTCGCTCGGCGTCGCGTTCCACATGCTGCTGCCTCGGCTTAACTGGTTCTGGGATGCGACTGCGCTCAGAAGCTGGCCGCGGCGGCCTCAGAAGGTCCCCTTAGGCGCGGGAGAGTGCGAACGAGGAGCCGCCGCTGGGTCGCAGGGAGGATGCTTGGAGAGGAAAGAGAGGAAAGTGAGAGGCAGAAGCTTAGGGAGAAAGTGAGATTGAGAGCTTGGGGCGAAAAGGGGGGAAGGGAGGGACACACAGAGACACACGCACACATGCACACGCACGCACTGGTGGTGAGGACAGAGTGACCCACCGGTCTTTCTGGCACCTCTATTTTTACCCAAGATCTCACCCAAACTAGCCCCTAGCTGCCCGGTACTCATGTACCTGTCACCGGGGCAGCCCCGCCAGTCCTGGCTCGCCCGCGCCTGCCTCTTGCTCCAGCCGCATCTCGCAGTTCCTAAAGTGTCCTGGCGCGTGGCCGCCTCGGAGACCCCGCACTGCGAAATGAGAGAGAAAGGAGCTCTCTTTCCAGCCTTGAGCGCTGTCTGTTAGTGTGGTCCAGAAGGGCAGGTCACACCCGGAGGTGGGGGCGGGGATGGTGGGAGTGGCGGGAAGAACAAGGTCTTCAGTTGCCAGAACCCGAGTTCGTCCTCAAAAAGGAGTAAGAGTTTTTAATGGACCTGGTGGAGAGAGGAAGCAACCGTGCCCCACCCGACTTGCAGAAGGGCGAGAGGACGGGGAATAAAGGATCCAGTGTTTGTATGCTGACCTGAGATGAGACCGGTGCACACCTGGGAAGAACCTCGGGCAGTTCTAGAACCTTTGGTCGTTTTAACAAAGAGAAACAGGCTCAGAGTCGTGTGGCCACTTGTCCAAGGTCACACAGTGATTTGGGGGCTCAGGGACTAAACTTGGGTCTCCCTCCGGATTTGGACTTCTGAGAGTGAAGGGCAAGATATGTGAATAAACTCTGTTCTGAATCCCAGCCCTTTGTACAGTCCTTCACCTCGGCGGTGGTAAGGGGTATGTTGTGTAAGAGATTATTTGCCTTCTGCAAATCTCCAGGTGGAGCAAGAAGGAGCAAAAGGAAAGGGACCAGGTGGGAGAGTGTAGCAGGCAAATCAGGAGGAGCACAGGCTGTGAGGCTGGCACGTAGAGGGTGAGTGGTAAACATTTTTTTTTAAAGATTTTTATTTATTTATTTGACAGACAGAGATCACAAGTAGGCAGAGAGGCAGGCAGAGAGAGAGGAAGGAAAGGAGGCTCCCTGATGAACAGAGAGCCCCTTGTGGGGCTCGATCCCAGTACCCTGGGATCATGACCTGAGCTGAAGGCAGAGGATTTAACCCACTGAGCCACCCAGGTGCCCCAAGCAGTAAACATTTTTTTTGAGGCATCACTGAGTTTTGTGTAGCTGTGTTCACACGGGGAAGGTCAACAACCTTTTTATTTTAAACTGTAATGATGTTTTCAGGGCCACTGGGAGTGGGTGTCAAGTGTCGGGGACACAGCTGGATCTCAATTAAAAAGAAATATGGGCTGCATTACTGTTATTGGGTTTGCTGTTGAGGGGCAGGATCTGTGCCCGGTGGAAATGCGTCCGAGGCCACTTGCAAGGTGACGCCCCTGAGCGCGACCTGTCTGTCCCCTGCCCAGAGCTAGGAAATCGACAGCCTAAGATCTGAGGCTAGCGGCTGCCAGGTTCTCACCAACCCGCGTGGTCTCTTCTGGCCCAGCATCTTGGCAACAATCCGACAGCGTGTTCAGCACCGCGGCCAGCGGCAGGTCCCTCCTTAACATCTCTCCAGGACTCTGGTAGCTGCGGCCAAGACGTCTCACCTCTTTCCACTTGCGCCTCAGCACGTCAGTCCTGCTCCACGCAAAGTCCCGAGAACAAGGCACCTGAAGCTGCCCCGCCGACCGCACCTATTGTGCTCACCTGCCCCCGGCCTAAATGAGAATCCTTTCACTGTGTGCTTTCCTGAAGCACTTTAGTGGATTTGCACATGACTTTGACAGATGTTTTACATCATATCTAGTCAGTTGTTAGTGCTTAGAAGTCCACAAAGATCTAAATCTGGATATTTCCACACATACATGAAAGATTGCACACATAGTGAGAGACTGCGTGAGGGAGGTTTGACACAGGCAAGCTACTAGAGAACACACTGTGGAGTTGTGTTACAGATATTGTACTAAACCGACATTTTAAAAAATTTACTTCAAACTACTAACTACTATCTTCAAAAAGATTACAACTAGGTCAGGCCACCAGTTACAGTCGACTTCAACACTTCCTACCCTCCATTATCAGTAGATCTATGTGTGCAGACAGATCTTTAGAAGGAGAAAATAGACTGGGATAAATAAAAATAGTGTAGGAAGTTACTGTCTAAGAATAAAAATCAGAAAAAGATGGTGGGGGCATATTTCTAGCCTATATAGGGCTGAAGCAATTGATGATAGATGGAGAAATCTTTTTCAAAAATCTATGGTGATAAAAACTGGGCATGTTGACTAAAATAGCTAGCTGTTTAACTGCACCCAATCATTTTCTAAAATACAGACAAATCTGGATTATGCGATGAAGAAGAAACAAGGGATAGTATTGAAATTGGTCCTTTCATTCACAACACATAATGTTATATAATAGATAAAATTGTCTATAAGTGTGTGCTAGGCAGGAGGAATAACAAAATAAATAACACCAGGCAGGTCTTGTATTTATTTACTTACAGTCTAGAAAGAAAAATATAGGTAAACGAGCAATTCCAGTACAGTCTGTACATGTATTTGAAGAAGCAGATACAATGAGCTCCATTGAAATATGGAGAAACAACGAACTACAGAGAGATTTAGAGAAGGCTTCTCAGAGAAAGTGGTATCTGAGTGGGATCTTGAAAGTTGAGTTCTGGAGCACCTGGGTGGCTCAGTCAGTTAAGCATCTGCCTTCAGCTCAGTTCACGATCCAGAAGAGTGCCCAGATCGAGCACCCCTTCAGGCTCCCTGCTTAGAGGAGAACCTGTTTCTCCCTCTGCCCCTTCACCCTGCTTGGGTTTTCTCTCTCAAATAAAAATTGAATCTAGAAAGAAAGAAAGAAAGAAAGATGAAGTCGAGTTTTGTCAGATTAAGCAAAACATGCTTAACACAAAGGCACATTGGTGCAAATAAGCCCAGCATCCTTGTCCTTTGAATGGTGTATTATCATGGATTTTTGGATTTTTTAATAGTCAATGAATATGAACCAATTATGATTATTTCTTTTTTTCTTTTTGATGCCCCAATTCTCAAAATTTAAATAAGTCATGTCAAAAGACTCTGAGACCAGCTTGAAAGGTTCCAGAGTCTTTTGACATGACTCACTTAAATTTTGAGAACTTCCTTGCTTTGTGGTACAATAACATACCCCAGCCCGCCTTATAAATTCCCTACTCTAGATCTGGGGGAAGCTGTTTCTCCAAGAATTTCTGGTACCTTCTATTGGGGATTGGCATTTAGAGACTTAAATTTGGGCAGTAGGGGCGGTTATTGTCCCTAAAGCATTAGGGACCAAACCCTGTCTGTGGACAGAGCTAAAACATGTTTTTTTAAAAAATCGTGAGATGATAATGATGATGATACAGTAGAGGAATCAAAAGTGCCCTTATGAAGTGATTAAAATTAATACCACCCATGTGATATTCTGGGAAGGACAGAAAGTCACTTATATAATATGTTAGGTAGGAATGCACAACCTCAATCTAATCATAAGGTACAACAGACAAATTCAAAATGAAGAATATTCTATTCTAAAAATTCTCCCCAATAGTCAGTTTTTTATAAAACAAAGAAAGACTGAGAAAATATTCCAGACTGGGCACCCTGGGTGGCTCGGTTTGTTAGCATCTGCCTTCCATTTAGGTCATGATCCTAGGGTTCTGGGATCAAGCTCTGGGGGGAAGGGGAGGCAATGACTCCCTGCTCAGTGGGGAGTCTGCTTTTCCAACTCCCTCTGCTCCTCACCCTGCTTGTGCTCTTTCCCTGTCAAATAAATAAATAAAATCTTTAAAAAGAAAGAAAGAAAGAAAATGTTCCAGACTAAAGGAGACCAAAGAGGTGTAACCTCTGACTCTAATTCCTGATTCTAGACTGGATGATAAGCCGGAGGGGGAAAAAAACCTGCAATGAAGGACAATATTGGGTCAATTGACAAACTTCAGAGTATTGCGTGTTGATTAAATAAAAGTATTGAATCCCTGTTAAGTTTACTGAAGTTGGTAATTATGTGAAAGAAAATATCCTTGTTCTTAAAAATATACACTCAACCATGATTTGTATACATGCTTCTGAAAAATATATGTGTGTGTAGATAAATAGAGCAAATGATAAAGCAAATAGAGTGAAATGTTAATAAAGAATTGAGAAATGGGTTAAAAGATTTTCTTTATACTATTCTTACAACTTTAATTTTGAAATTATTTCCATATAAAAATGAAGAAGTCATGTTTATATAGATACTTCAATTTCCAATTATTTACTCAATCTATTTGATTTTGTATTTACACTATCCATCCTGGTTTCTAACACCATAAGCATAATTATTTATTATAATATTCACTAAATGATTTCAAGCTGATAACATCAACATTACCACTAATAGTTAACTTGACAAATAAAGTTTGAGATTTCCTTTCAGTTTTCTTTGTCCTTGAAATATATCTCAAGTGTATATGGCTACTATGTTCTAAAATTACTTGAAATAAATGCTTTTCTATGTGTGATTATGTTACTAATTTGACATGTGGTTAGACTTATTTGTTCCATTTACTCTCAATTTTAGTATTATTATATTGTTTAAAGATTCTATTTATTTATTAGAGAGAGGAAGAGAGAGAATGAGCAGGGAAAGGGACTAATGGAGAGGGAGAAACAGACTCCCATGCTGAGCAGGAAGCCCAATGTGGGGCTCGATCCCAGGACTCTGGGATGATGACCTGAGCCAAAGGCAGACAATCACCTGAACCACTCAGGCACTCAATTTTAATATTAT